AAACACGTTAGTAAATTACTGCACTCGAATGCAAAATCTTCTATTTTTTTGTTTACTCTGTACTCAGTGCTGTATTACTGATCTTTACTGTGTGCAATATCCCATAGAAAACAATGCATCTCACTTCATATGGACTGGGTAATGTGTTAGGAACGTAAGGATGCCCCACCGTTTGATGGAAATGAAAATTATCAACTCAAAATGGTACTCAGTAGTTTGCATGGCTCCCACGTGCTTGTATGCATGCCTGACAACATCCAGGCATGCTCCTAATGGGATGATGGATGATGTCCTGGGGTATTTTCTCCCAGATCTAGACCAGGGCATCACTGAGCTTCTGGACAGTCTGAGGTGCAACCTGGCGGCGCTGGATGGACCGAAACAAGAAATCCTGGAGGTGTTCTATTGGATTGAGGTCAGGGGAGTGTGGGGGCCATTCAATGGTATCAATTCCTTCATCCTCCAGGAACTGTGCATACTCTCGCCACATGAGGCCAGGCATTGTCGTGCACCAGGAGGAACCCAGGACCCACTGCACCAGTGTAGGGTCTGACAATGGGTCCAAGGATTTCATCCTGATACCTAATGGCAGTCAGGGTGCCATTGTTTAGCCAGTAGAGGTCTGCGCGTCCCTCCATGGATATGCCTCCCCAGATCATCACTGACCCACCACCAAAATGGTCATGCTGAACGATGTTACAGGCAGCATAACTTTCTCCATGGCTTCTCCAGACCCTTTCAAGTCTGTGATGTGCTCAGGGTGAACCTGCTCTCATCTGTGAAAAGCACAGGGTGCCAGTGGTGAACCTGCCAATTCTGGTGTTCAATGGCAAATTTCAATCGAGCTCTATGGTGCCAGGCAGTAAGCACAGTGCCCACTAGAGCATGTCAGCTCCTCAGGCCGCCCTCATGAAGTCTGTTTCTGTTTGGTCAGAGACATTCACACCAGTGGCCTGCTGGAGGTTAATTTTGTAGGGCTCTGGCAGTGCTCATCCTGTTCCTCCTTGCACAAAGGAGCAGATACCGGTCCTGTTGATGGGTTGAGGACCTTCTACAGCCCTGTCCAGCTCTCCTAGAGTAACTGCCTGTCTCTTGAAATCTCCTCCATTTTATTGAGACTGTGCTGGGAGACAGAGCAAACCTTCTGGCAATGGCACGTATTGATGTGCCATCCTGGAGGCGTTGGACTGCCTTTGCAACCTCTGTAGGGTCTGCTACCAGTAGTGACACTGACCCTAGCCAAGTGCAAAAAACTAGTGAAAAAACAGTCAGAAAGTATGGAAAACAATGTCAGTGGTCTCCACCTGTAAAACCATTCCTGTTTGGGGATCATCTCATTGTTGCCCATCTAGTGCACCTGTTGTTAATGTCAATAATACCAAAGCAGCTGAAACAGATTAACAACCCCTCTGCTACTTAACTGACCAGATCAATATCCCAGGAGTTAACTGACTTGATGCTATACTCTGATTAAAAAGTGTTCCTTTAATTGTTTTGAGCAGTGCATTTTTTTAAAATTCCATACTGCTATGATACGTTTATTTCAACAAGCAAAAGTGTCTCCTGAAGATGTGATAAGTACAACTCTGAGTACATTTGCAAGTGATGGGCTAGAATATACCAGCACTGGATTGCAAAGCAGTAAAACCTGTTTCCGTCAGGACTGTAAATGGGACTATAATAGATAATTAAAACACAATTGGAAGAAATCAGGCCTGGCAGCTTTATACATGGTAGTCTAAGGGAGGGTTTAAAAAATGATGGAAGTTGTTTAAAAAGTTTTGTAGAAGGATTTATTGAAGATATAAGATAAGCATCTGTAAGAGATAAGTAAAGAATGAAGTTTTATGGTTTGTTTCCAATTACAAACTCATTCAGGATGGAACAACAGCAATATGAAAGGTCACATGTCAAGATGGATGACATGATCCATATCACTATACCCCCGTTACTAAACTCCTGTACTTCTTGCAGATTTTCCAAACCCAAATTCAATTAAATAATTCATATTTAAAACCAACTTCAACATTAGTTATTAAATTGAGTCCAGATTACTATAATTAGAAAAACAGCAGTTCCAAGTGCCAATAATGCCAAATTGAGATTATATTGTTTAAATCTATCTATCTATCTATCTATCTATCTATCTATCTATCTATCTATCTATCTATCTATCTATCTTTTAGAGATCTTGTAACTATAAGCCTAGAGAATTTTAAGAAAGAATTTGCAGATGAATAGAACAGATCCACAAGCCTGGAATGCATTGCAATTTATTCATGAGGCAGCTCATGATTTTTCAAGCTGCTGGACCTAAGTCCATTTTGTGCCTGTTCCTCTGTGGTTAAACAGTAGCCACAGAGCCTTGGCTGAGCATATAGCTTTAAGCAGCAAATCAGCTAGCTACTTCTTGGCTTTTCAGCAAGGGGAGCAGTTTGCTTCTGGGCTCGGGTTTCAAAGTGAACTTGGCACGCAAATGAACACTTTAGGGGATGCCGGATTTGAGAGAACCTTGAGCTGACAGATATTTAAAGGACCACAAATGTCTTTTCTGTCACCATATTTTCTTTGATATAATGGAAAACATATGCATAGCTAGACTTCCTAGAACATTTTCTGTACATCCTTTTAAATATAACTGAAAAATCAATTGAAAAACACCATTAAGCTGTACCTAAAACTTCTACGTAGCTCATATTAAATTTACAGAAAAAAATACCCCTTTCTGGAACAAAACATAATTACAATGTAACCTTTTCTCTGTCAGCTCCAGTACCTGTGCACATATTTTAATTTTTTATCTGTGTTTATCTACTCTTCCATACCATATTATATCTGAACCTTTAAAAACACTCTTACCTGACTCAGTGGGAGCTTTTATTGTTTTCCTCACACATAAGGGTTGACTTGCTAACGGAAAATAAGTGGTTCACTTTGCAAGAGAATTTTTCTTTAGCTTAGTGAATGGGGTAATGCCTTGTTGACTTCCATCATCCAATTACATGCAAGCAAAAATACGGCATGTTTTATTTTCTTTGCATGTGATTGGGTATTCTTCACAAATGTCTACCGCATTCACCGAGCTAAAGAAAATCCCCTTTAAAAAGTGACATTTTGCATGATTGAATAGCCTATTTCTCTTCAGTAAATCAATCCTGTAGTGTTCAAGATACAGTGAAAGAATAGGCAAAAATACATATTGTGTAATGGTTTCAGGTACTGGATATTGGCCAAACCAGTCTCTCTTTGTAGGAAATATAGATGGAAGAATTAACTACAGTAGTTGTATATATTCTTTCAAACAACTGCCCACACTTTTTATTTTCATTCATCCCAACTTTGTCTTATGTGGAGATTATTTTACCTTATGCCCATCAAGTCCTGGGATTCCTGGCTCTCCATTGGAACCCTGAAAATAGAATAATAGACAAAATAACTGTCCAGCTTTGTTGCAGTCTTTATGAACACACTAGTATAGTAGTATACAAATGTAATAATAACCTATGTAAAGAGATGTATCAAAATTCAAACCTTTCTTTTTTTCTTTAAAATTACATATAAAGTATACATACGGGGAAATTTGTACAGATAAACAAAAAGTAGCAAAGGAGCAGCAAAAATTAAATATGAATTCCTCAAATCCTTAAATCCAGTGAACAGGAAAACTGAGTATCTCAAATCATTTTTATATGTTCCTAATCTGTCAATTGCAGCACAAAAATGAATAGATTTGTGGCAGGCAATATAGAATAGGAGCCTAATGTTTCTACAGTTGTATTTAGCCCCTCCAGGGTTTTTGTTTGAAATGAAACTTTTTGTTTTCTCAGTTCATGACATATTCTGGACTGGGGCCCTGGAACCCAGAGACTTTGTAGAGCCTCTATTTTTAGATTTCTAGGTCCTCATCTTACCTGTTAGCCTGACCTCAGTAATTAGTCCACAGGCCTTTCTATGTGTGAGCTGAATGATGCTCAGAGTTCTCTTTCATTCTCTCTGCTGTCAGAAACTGTCACTTGCTAAGGCTGACAGAAAGCTAAAATGACACAAGAGCTGTCTGTTTGTTTTGGGAAACCCATTAGGGGTCACCATATTAGTCGGGAATGGACTTTCAGTTAGAATCTCAGACAAGCAAATGTTTTGTTTTATGCTATGGATATGTTTGTGTTCTGTCTTGCTGAATAAACTTCTCGACAGTTCCTGGGCATCCCTGGCTTGTGCATGCTACAGTACGTACAAATGCCAACCACCACAATTTATAACTAGCTTTAAAAATAAGGTGCACATGAAAGGGCTTTGCACAGCACAAATGAATATTTTTAACAATTTGTGTTAACAACAGAGATTTTAGCTGTATAACGTTTGCAAATAAATGTGGAAATCTCACTGCTTCATCAAGGCCCCCCTGTAAAGTCCAGTCCTAACTTCTAACATTGTGCTTTGCTAGATTCTAGTATGTCTCCATACCTTTAACCTCCCTAGCAGTCTGATTATGTACATATTTCTGTGCTCAAAGCGGTACATTTTTTTGCATGGAAATATGTATTTTTTTATTGTGGGCCTGTAATTTTTAGGAATAACTCACTGAAATCTGTCCGAAACAAGAGTCTAGTACAGATCCCGGGTATGTTACAATTTGAAACACGAAATCATAAATTAAAATTTAATAAATAAACATAAAAAATAATAATATAATAATAATAAATTTAATTCAATAATATAATCAAACCAAATACACTAAAATTTGAAATATAGCGCGAAGTTTGCACATCACTGAGCAAAGTCACAAAATCGTTTTCAGTGTCTGATGACGAATTTCCCCACGAACCATTATCACTCAATTCTGCAAGTAGTTCTAATTTACTATCGCTGTTCTCTAGCTGGGCTAAAACCGCTTTTGACCTAAAGGGATGCTTTTTGGACGCCATGGACATTTCTCAGTTTCCAGGCATAAAGAACAGTAAAAATGCAGGCAGGGCACAGGACAAAGCACTAGGGACAATATGTATGTGAAATGGTTTGATACAGTAATGTTTTACTATGTGATTTTAGTGTATTTAGTGAATGTCACTTTTTGTCATTTTCAAATTCCCGCTGTTCTGTCCCCATACGTCCCGACGCTCGCAGAGGACGGAACCCAGATGACAGATGTCGGCATCCGCCGGATTACGTTACCAGGGACACTGCAGGAGGGACATCGCGGGAGCGCAGGACAAGGTAAGTGAAGAACAGATCCCGGAGCAGCGCCGCATGGTAAGCACGAGTGTAGGTCGGGGTTACCGCTTTTGGTACTGAAACTTTACCCCGAGCTACACTCGGGAATACCGCCAGGGAGGATACGGAATTATGGGATGCCTCCAGGCATACCTGCCCTTAATGTATTCATTGCTATATAAAGTATACTCCAATATTGAGACTCTCAAAAATCAGAGTTAGTACCTCAATTTACAGAGGTACCTTAACAATGCAGTGTGGCTTCCACACATGCACATGCAACTACAACCTGTGTTTTTAACAAAATTGTTAGAAAATGTACTTTGTTTTTGTAGGCTGTCTGGTAAGTGTGCTGGGAAACACTTATTTGTCCTGTCTTCATCATGGTTCACCACTACCAATACCAGTTGAGCTTGTCCCCTTTACAGCTTATACTTCACAAAAATGTACTACATGACAAAGAATTCCAACACGATTTGCTATGCACTCTTTTTATCTAAAAATGTGCGCAGCAGTACTTTTTTTTCGGACTGGCTAACGCTTAACACAGGGGTATTCAGGAGGAAGGAGTGGGATAAGGGAGATGAGTCACTCTTGTAACTTGTGTGTGTTAATTTCAGCTTGAGCTACTGAGCTCTGTAAACAAAATGCTTTAACATTGGGGAAAAGAGTTAGACGAAAACATGTGAAAAAGAGCCTAACACACCACTTCCAGTGTCAAAAGGACATTAAAAATTTTAATATGCAATGTTTTAAAAACATTATGGAGCATTTCTACTCTCAGGCATACTAACAGCTCCAGGGGTGTTACAGGAGTAGTGAACATATACTGTATGTGCACAACATTGTATTGGTGAATATATAGAGACGAATATATGGAGACAAATTCTTTTAATGTGTGGCATTTTTTATTTAGGAATGAACATTTATAAAAATTGTGTGGATTTTGTTTTTTGTATTTATGTATACAACATACTTTGCACTGTGAAGTTTGTTTTTGGTTGAGCACTTTAACTGTCGGTATTACAGGCTGCCAATACAATACAATGCCAATACAGGCTGCCAATACCTCAAATTCTTGAGGAACATGTAGGAAAAGAATGAGGGTGGCCTTAGAGTAACAGATGTATTCATTACCTATGATATTCAAATAGTTGCGGTACTGAGTGACAAACAAGCTAAATTTCTAGAAGGAAGTGCCCTTTTTGCTGAAAGAATTAAGGTTGGGAATATAATTGGTTTGTGAGAGTAAAAGGCCATCTATTTCCATCTTTGAGATGTGTATAAAATTTCTAATACCTATGAATTTGGTAATTTAACCCCAAACTGTAAATGTACTTTTTGCATTAGATATACCGTATAAAAGAAATCTTGGGAAAGTCATGCAGGCAACAAGAAATACATTCATGCTTCAAGAACAGTATTAAAAAGTGTATACCTGTCTTATACAGTTAACAGATGTATGCATGAGGTGATTTTACTGACTAGGGACTTGGCATAAGGATTGTGTCTGGCAATGTCCTACCACAGTAGCACATTGTAACCAGCCAATAAATTACTTCCATGGTGACAGGAGTTAAAGTTCCTCTCACCTCTTTACTTAGGTCTCTACATAGCTGAAGCATGAATGATGAAAACACAACTGAAGCACTCAGGGAAGTTGTCAGGTTTCTTTTCCCAAAATCTTTTTGGCCTCGGAATATTCATTGGTAAGAATGTCTAACAAATGTTGGATATGAAAGAGGACCAACATTGCTGGATTTAAAAGCTAGGCAAATTTGCGGTATATAAAACTGAATTTGCAGGATATAAAAGGATTTAAATGAGTTGATCTGTATGGCTAAATCCAATTATTTTCATATACAACTGAAAATAAATAAATAGCAACATAGAAACTCAGATTGACAAAAAAAGCCAAAGTGCTCCATTGAATTAGCATTTCTTAAAAAATGTTTTTGTTTGATTTTGTTGTTTCTTGGGCTTTTTCTGTTTAGTTTGTACATTTTTTTTTGTGTCCGAGTATAGACCTATGTTTATCCAAAGAATGCTTACATTTTCCTTACTGTTATTTATTCACTACCTCTCTTGGAAGTCTGTTCCAAGCATCCATTACTCTTTCAATGAAATAATGGTTTCTATGGTTAGTTTTAAACTTAAAGTCATACTAAAGCTTAGCTTTTTTTTTTCAAAATTACAAAAATGTCATACCTGCTCTGTGCCGTAGTTTTGCCCCCCTCAAGCAGTGCCTCCAGAGAAAACTGCACCGCTGCTTGCTTGCTCCTGAGTCGCTGCTCGTCAACCTTGTAGGTAAATCAACCTTGTAGGATTCTAGATGAGGTCTAACTAAAGTTTATATAGTGAAATTAGGATTTCTTTTCTCCTGGTGATCCCTCTAGAGATGCACCTCGGAATTATATTGCATTTCCCTGCTGCCTAGCCACTCTGTTTCATTAGTTTTCAATCATCTGAAATGACCGCTCCAATCAGCCCAAAGAGTCAATATATATAATACTTTTATATGCTTCAGTGTACGTGCAGAACATTGTGACAGTTAACCGAAAATTAAAAATAGTCTTTCCAGAACAGGGGAATCTGTTTTGTGGCTTTTTTCCTCTCATAATTTTATTTGAACAAAGAGCAAAACATTACACCGATTTTGTAAAAAGATGAGAGGTTCTTAGATTTCCTACAGCTCCAATAGGTTAAAAGCAAACATACCTTTCAAAGCTAAAGTCTGGGCAAACAGCTGACCATGGATGAAATACATATAAGAGAACTGTTTTACTTGCAACATATGTTGTAAAGCGCTGCGCAAACTGTTGGCGCTATATAAATCCTGTATAATAATAATAATGTATGTCAATGCGGTCCTAAGATTTATACAACTCTGCAATGCAGCACAAACCTGTCTAGCTGATTTTTTCAGCTGCAAATAAGTGCAGTGAAGTGAAATAACCCAAGCATGCATGTGTTAAAGCATATATCTGGTCACCAATTAAAGTATAGTGTGATGCACAAATGAGCCTTTCTCTGCAGATGACAATGGGGGAGATTTACAAAAACTGGATCACTCAGAATCTGGTGCAGCCAGGGCCGGCACTACCGCTAGGTGAACTAGGCAGCCACCTAGGGCGCAGCCATGGCCACCGGTTTCCCTCTCCTCTGGCTTAAGATAACATCTCCCGAGAGAACCAGAAGTAAATAAAGGCAGATGTGAGCCGTGTACTGAACGGGACGTAAAAGCTGCAGACAACAAAACCACTAAGGTGTCGAGTTATCCTCTGAGCTTCTCCAGTGCTCTGCCCCCTGATCTTTGCACCCAGTAAGACCAACGTGAGGACCACTGACATGCGACCTTACGTCATCACTTCAGCAGGCATGCCCCTCCAGAGGTCATTGGCTTGGCTCCAGGGGCAGACTGACAACTCAAGGGGCCCCGGGCAATAGGGGATCATGGGGCCCCTGTGTCCTTGCCCAAACTCAAAAAAGCCTATGAAAAAGGTACCAGGGGCATCTCATGCGGCCTCCTACTGACCCCAAGCCCTCGGGCAGTGCCCGAGTTTCCAAATGGTCAGTCCGCCCCTGCTTGGCGCTTGTGATTGACACTGGTGCCCTGGGCACTGACTTGCATTGTGATTGGTCACTTGCTGCTGTTCAGCTTTCCTTGTTGATGTATGTGTTTACCTGCTGCCACTGACTGTGTCACAAGAATAGTGGGTGCAGCTTCCGGTTCTAGCTCACAACGGGTGAGTGTGTTTGCGGGGGGGTCAGAGGAAATAGAAGCAAACAAGGCAGCTACTGGTGTCGTTGTGTAAGTTCAGGGCCAGACAGGCACCCTGGAGTTCTGTGACCATTAGCTTTGCTGCTTCTGTGATGGTGGGCATGTATGTACAATGTCACATGTGTGAGTCAGGGTTGTATCGTTAAAGGGGGGCAGTGTGTACAGAAAGGGGGGATAGGGTTAAAGTGGGGCAGTGTGCGCAGGAAGGGGCGGTGTAGCATTAAAGGGGGGCAGTGTGGACAGGAAGGTGGGTGAAGGGTTAAAGGGCACAGTGTGTGCAGGAAGGAGGGGCAGTGTGTGCAGGAAGGGGGGGGGGTTGTAGCGTAGCGTTAAAGAAGGGCAGTGTGTGCAGGAAGGGGGGGGGGTGTAGCGTAGCGTTAAAGGAGGGCAGTGTGTGCAGGAAGAGGGAGGTGTAGGGTTAAAGTGCACAGTGTGTGCAGGAAGAGGGAGGTGTGGGGTTAAAGGGCACAGTGTGTGCAAGAAGAGGGAGGTGTAGGGTTAAAGGGCACAGTGTGTTCAGGAAGGAGGGGCAGTGTGTGCAGGGAAGTAGGGTCAGTGTGTGCAGAAAGGGGGGCTTTAGCGTAGCGTTAAAGGAGGGCAGTGTGTGCAGGACGAGGTAGGTGTAGGGTTAAAGGGCACAGTGTGTGCAGGAAGAGGGAGGTGTATGATCAAAGGGCACAGTGTGTGCAGGAAGAGGGAGGTGTAGGATTAAAGGGCACAGTGTGTGCAGGAAGGAGGGGCATTGTGTGCAGGAAGGGGGGATGTAGCGTAGCGTTAAAGGAGGGCAGTGTGTGCAGGAAGAGGGAGGTGTGGGGTTAAAGGGGGGCAGTGTGCGCAGGAAGGGGGGGTGTAGCATTAAAGGGGGGCAGTGTGTACAGGAAAGGGAGTGACGGGTTAAAGGGCACAGTGTGTGCAGAAAGAGGGGGTGTGGGGTTAAAGGGCACAGTGTGAGCAGGAAGGGGGGTGTAGGGTTAAAGGGCACAGTGTGTGCAGGAAGGAGGGGCAGAGTGTGCAGGAAGGGGGGATGTAGCGTAGTGGTAAAGGAGGGCAGTGTGTGCAGGAAGAGGGAGGTGTGGGGTTAAAGGGGGGCAGTGTGCGCAGGAAAGGGGGTGTAGCATTAAAGGGGGGCAGTGTGTACATGAAGGGGGGGGTGTGGGGTTAAAGGGCACAGTGTGTGCAGGAAGGGGGGGTCTAGGGTTAAAGGGCACAGTGTGTGCAGGAAAGGGGGTGTAGGGTTAAAGGGCACAGTGTGTGCAGGAAGGAGGGGCAGTGTGTGCAGGAAGGGGGGGTGTAGGGTTAAAGGGCACAGTGTGTGCAGGAAGGAGGGGCAGTATGTGCAGGAAGGG